TAGATGTAAGTTGTGGAATAAAATAAGAAATGCTCTCCGTCTTTTCCTGCTTACCTGCTTCTTTTTGGAGCTTGAGCCACACAATATTTAAGCAAAAATGTATCTTGAGCAATTTTATCTCCGGACGAATAAAAATGTCAATGAAATTGACTGTAGTGTTGAAAAGACAGTTCCGTACACTCATACCCTTACTTTAAATTTCCATGTGCACATTGTGGCATTACTGCTGGCCCCTTGAGCATATGCCTGTAAAAAAACGGTATATTCTACATGTGTTTAAGTTGTTAAAATTATTAAATAATGTAAAAATATATATAGCAGTATTGCTCACCGTTTTGATTTTTTCACGTTCTCTTTTCCATGTAGACTTATCTATAATCATTTTACGCCTTTCCTGTCTGGTGATAAAGGTATGTCTTTTTCTTGGCAATCCAATATATTGTTTTTCCAGAAAACAGTAAATAAATAAAACTGAATATAACACGTGCGCGCATACGTAGTGAACTATTCAGACTGAAAGATACCTATGTTTGCTGAGGTGAGAACATGTCATAGAGCACTGTTTGCAAGTTAACAGTCACATAGCAATTTTTAAAAGTGGATTTCTAAATAAGATAGCGACTTTTGCAAGAGTATTCTGTTTTCTACCTAGTCTAATTCAGAACATAACCAGTTTTGATGGAGTGCAATAATAATGACACGTATATTTCAATAATGTCTACACATCGGCGCCATGAAACGAATATATATATATATATATATATATATATATATATATATATATATATATATATATAAATATAGCGTGGTTTGCAAGTGGACTACTCATATTATACTTATGAAAATTAACAGAAAATCTAAAAAAGGAGTTGGATCTTGCTATCACAATTTGTTTGTTTTTTTTTCCAGGAACTGGCAATTTTCTGATAATATCATTTGTAGAAATATGACTCATCTTTGTGATCTGGAAATACAAAATCTTTATTTATTAAAAACTACTAAAAACATTTATTAAAGATTCTGATCCTTCTAGTTTCTTTGCGATCTGACCCGCAAAGAATTTGAGTGTTTTTTTGTAGCAAATTTAATGAGAACAAAATCTTTTTTCTGGATATTCGTAAGATACAATCCAAAATCTTTACCATCTTCAGTATTAACTTACATAAGACTATCATCTAATTCTTCGCAATAATTCTCAATTTCGCTTTCTGATGTCTCCTCATCAAAAACTTTGCCAATATGAATTGCCAAATGGTTGAATTTTTTTTCTTCCTTTCTTAAAACTTATTTTCAGGGCCTTTAAGTTAAGCAAATAATTACAATGATTGAACTTTGTTTTTCGGTAGTTAAAACAGCTGGACACTTATTGTTAACTTGTGGTTGAACATTTGCCGATGATGATGTAGAAGGCATTTCGGAATTAGAAAGTGTACTGCAATTTATACAATCATCAGTTGTAGTATCTCGCTGCGATACATCACTGACTTCCGTGGTAACCAGTGATAGCAACCAGTATTTAAAAACCCAGAATTAATGTTTTTCCCGCTAAATGCTTCGTCAAAGGCTGGAGATTTTAGATGTGCAATGTCATAAATTGATATAGCTTTTCCCGGATGTGTAGATCTCCATAAGTTGAATGCTGCACGACAACGACCTTGAAAAGGGCCAAATACACACAACTCTAGAGGCTACAAACGATGTGTTGTGTGTAAAGGAAACGTTAAGAGTACTACTTATTAACGCAGGGTGTTTCTTAGAAGCATGCATGTTTTTTTTAATATGCTTTACAGCTTCGAGAAATCCCTCGTTGGTCATCTAACCACTTTGGAAGCAATACCAATGCTGCCTTCTGGAGCTCCAGTCAGAAATAACTCTTTAACTCGCACACGTGGGAAGATATGAACAGGTGGAATAGCATTTCCATTGGAAACGATTATTCCAACAAACGTCACTTGCTTACCTCTCCCTACTCCAACTGCTTGTCCCACTTGCTAACAGTCCTTATTTGCGGCCACTTTTGACATTTGTAGAACAATGTTTACTCTGCTTTCATCTACGTTCACGATTCTATTACTAGTAAATTTGTACGTTTTTTAAACAGTCTCTACGCTATCAAAAAACATGCCTACGTTAAGTTTATTAAAACTGATGTTTCTGGCTAGACTCGTAAACTCCGGTTTTCGCAAAGATAATGAATTGTGACGCTTCATGAAACCTTTCATTCACGTAACTTCGAAGATTGAAGAATATAATTTACTAGGCAGTCCTTTTCTTCATTTAAAAAAAAATCGGCTGTGTTATATACATATTTTGATGAAAACTTTATTTCGGATATTTCTGTATCATTTATATTTTTTTGATTCAGTTTTTTTAATCTTTTCTGTAACACGGACTTTAATCAATATCTTTCTGCTACGTTTCCGATTGATCCGTTACCATTTTTTTTTTGTATCGCAAATGGCCTAAACTACTACGTTTTCAGGAATATTACTTCTATCACATTTTTAGTGATGTAGGTTTTCACCAAAATTTTGAACTGTAAGGTAAAAAAAGATATTTTAGGTTGTTTTGTTTTAAAAGAACCTATGGGATACAAGTGGGCACCGTTCACTTGCTCCCCTGTATGGTGTCCTCATCTGCCCCGTATGCATAGGTTTATCTGTTTTTAGGTTATGACTAGAACAAAACTGTAGAAACTTACGTGATATCAAATATGACAATATTCAAAATACAATGCACTTTACAAGAAATCACAGAATGTCACTAAATCATATTCAAGTCTAAAAACTGTTTATTTACTTTTACACGGCAAAAGTAACACAACCTCTCGACACAAACAAATGGCAACTGACATTGAATTTATTTTTTGACATAGAACTATATTACCAGTACCATCGAGGAGAGTGAGTGAGGTGAGTGAGCCACTCGAAAAGAAATCTGGACGGAAAAAAATCAACTATTCACTTTGTCTCTGTCCACATGTGCCTTTCCTTCCCCTATATTGTAGTTTTTTAATTTTTAGTATATTTTGGTAAAGGGTTAATAAAGTTAAAAACTTACACCTTAACCCTCTATTGCCCGATTTTTTTGTAAACTTAAGAAAGAATGTTTTAATTTGTATATATGCTCAAATATGCTCATTTATAACGACTAGTAATTTTTTTAGATTTTTTAAATTTTGTTTGGGGAGAGTTTTGGGAATGTGGCCCTCAGGCAACTGTGGGCAGCAAAAACTAACGAATTAAGTTATATACTTAGTTATTATGGCAATCAAAAAAACAATTCATGAATGTGTTGCTTGTGTGAGTCCATTTCAAATAGGTAAAGAAATAATAAATAATTTAAATAGTTTACTGATGCATCAAGAACTGAAAACGGACACGTAGCGGCTTTTATTCTAGGAAAGTCTGAATATGCAGTTCGCATCCCTCAATTCTGCAGCATTTTCACGGGAGAAGCAATCGCCATTTATAAGGCTTTAGACATGTGTAAGAGTCATGCAAGCTCAGATTTTCTTATGATTACTGACTCTTTATTTGTTCTTCAGAGCTTAAGACAAATATATCCAGTACATGCTATCCTGCAACAAATACAATTAGCACTTTATCACCTACAAAACAGACACGTAAACGTAACATTTCCCTGGGTACCATCACATACAGGTGTCGCAGGAAATGAAAAAGTAGATGAATTAGCAAAGAAAGCTGCTACTGACGAGCAAACTGAAATTATGACTACAATTCCATTCAGTGATATATATCTCAATATTAAACAGCACTGTGTAAAAAATTGACAACAAATGTGGAATTTTAATAAGGCTAACATTAAAAACGTAAAATCTAGGATTGGCACTAAACTATAATTTCCAAAAAACAGAAGGCAATAAGTGATTATAAACCGACTAAGAATTGGACATACAGCGTTAACTAACCAGCATCTCATAACAAAAGAACTACCACCTGAATGTTCCTATTGTGAATGTCCAATAACTGTTCAACATGTATTGATTGAAGGTCCTCTTTATTCCTACGAAAGAGCCATCAACAACGTACCAGAAGAAGTAAAGAAAATGAAAGATATTTTAAACAGTAATAGATCAAATACAATCAAACTCCTTAAGAACATACGTTTACTACACAAAATTTAAGTTATAGTATATGTATCTTTTTGTAATTTGTAATTTATTATTTGTAATTTAATACGCAATTTGTAATTAGTATATTTAGTAACAACTGTAAAATCTGTAAAACCCGCTAATAACCTTTAATGGTTGATGCGGAAATTCTAAATAAATAAAAACATTTTAATCTTCTTTTCATCATATTTTATTAATCCTAATCCCGACGAATACTAATCCAATTACACAAAAATTATAATAAATAATATATTTACTAAATTTAATTTTATATAATACATCCATCGGGATAATGGCAATTTCGTAATTATTAAATTGACAGTAGTAGATATCAATGATAATTATCTACATATCGACGTACGTTTCTTTTAATATTTGGATTTAACTTGTTCGAAAATAAATCATGATGCAAGGAAAAGTATAGAGTGGACGTACTTTATACGACTAACTAAACACGCATACAGATTCAAGAATAGACACAAAATGAGAGAATATGACAAGACTTGTCATCTCGTACCTGTAAAATCGGAAGACTACAGAGGGATGCAGTTTTATCGGACTGTACAGCATATACACAACTGAGAGCTATAACGTAGAAACATAGAAATCTGGATGTAGCTGTGAGGAACCTATAGACAGCACTGGATACAATAGAAAACCTTATTTTAATTTTAGAGTATATATATATATATATATATATATATATATATATATATATATATATATATACTCTAAAATTAAAATAATATATATCTATACTCCTATACTCATTATATATATATATATATATATATATATAATATATATATATATATATATATATATAATGATCAAATTTGAATATAATAGATATCTTAATACTCACCTCCATATCCAGAAGAAACAGCAATTATTATCCATGCTATACCTAAACTCCAGCCCACATGGAACAATGCACCGTATAATGCAGAAACCCAGGTAGGAACTTTCTGAACGTAAAAAATAAATGCAAAATGCAACGAAATAAACAATAGTAACACAGATACTATCCAACATAATTTTACCAGACGTGACTTTATTTTAATGGTTTGGATACCCATTTGATACTTAATATACCCAGCTAGGACTCCAACGAAATATGCGCTTGCTCTTATGTGACCGGGTATGTAAATTCGTAAAAATGTACTATCTTCCGATGGATGTAACAGCATTCTGAAATAAAAATACAATTTGACCAATTAGCCGTTGATAATATCCATGTATTCATTGTATTTCTAGTCTCTTACGTCGTTATCAACTAAATTAACCGTAACATTTAGTATCGGCTACTATTTAATCCTCTTAAATAATATAAAATTGGAAAAGCGTATATAAAATAATTTAAAAGATTTATTATAATGAGGTAAATAGTTTAAATAATTGTAAAAGAGGTAGACAACAATACTTTAATTCGTTAAAATTATCTGCACCATCAATATAAAGATTGTGCTATCTATTCCCCAACCATACAGTATATTTTTTCGAAAGCTGCTTTTTACAAATTAGTAATACCGCAACCAGCTGGCTCATTGAACATATTTAAATTATTCGTGAGAGATTCATAAATTCCAAACTTGGGAACCCTGTAGCATATACAAGTCTAAGGGATGCTTGGGGTGCATACCTACCATATATTTTGGAGTCATTTGGTAGGGTCCAAAAAGTGTTTGCCGTCTATGACCTAGTTTTTCGCAGTTATACACAATGTAGCTAACTTCTAAGTTCTTTGCAATATGGTCTACATATGCATAGATTATGTCTTTATCAAACAGCCCTATTGTCCGCAAGTATCTTTTATATTACCTTACAGACAAGCGCGGTCTAGAAGGCCTCCATAGATACCTTGTGCTATAAATAAAAGGGAACTATAGATGAGCATGGTTTAGGCGAGTGAAATGAAGGAGGAAACGGCTGCTTAAGTTCGTCATTAAAAAGGATCTTAGTATAATGAACACAATGTTTAAACATCATTTACGAACATTGTCAACAGCCTTCGCCTGATTACGATAAAAAACCAAATAGATTATATACTTTTCACTCAACTATGGAGAAGCTTAGTAATCAATATGAAGACAAAGCCAAATGCAGACTGTATTTTAACCACAAAATGTTACAAGCAGAATTCTGCATGAAGCTACAAGCCACTGAGTAAAATAATTACAAATATTAGACAAAAATTCGCTAGAAAACTCTCAAAAAATTTTAGAGAAGCATTGGCAAAAACTGACCTATTAGTGACTACCACAAAAGTTATTAATATTTTTTTTTAAATCCCCTTTTTGAAAAATGTTTGCTATTGGTTTTTTTGAAAATGCTTTAATCACTGCATTAGCAATGGTCGATTTTAGAGATAAGATGAATATAAAAAAATAAGGTATACAATTAGATTTTATTAATTAGTTTTTAGGAAACCAAAAAAATATGGTACGGTTGCAGTCACTATGTTCACTTAGAATGTCTTTTATTGTTTTAGGTAACTGTTCATATTGTCTTTCAAATGCGTAAAACGTACACTCTACTAATAAGTGATGTTCTGTTAGATCACTATCACAAGTGTAACACAAAGGTTTGGGTTACTTCTGTAGTAGGAAATCATGTGTGATCTTGCTGTATCCTAATCGTAGTCTGGACATGAAGTTTTTAAGATTGTGACACGAATTTCATTTAAAATGTGTTTCTTGATGGATGAAATTTATTTATAATAATATTAAGATCTTCTAAATGGGTATGGTACCCATTTAGGTTACGTTGAATAATAGAATTAAAAATTCTTAACATTAACTAAGTTTCTGGAGAGAAATCGCTAGGTTCATCGGCAGAAGTATTACTTAAAATGTGTTCTGTAATTTTAATTTAAAAATAACGGAATTTAAGATGTCTTGGATCTAATTAGGATTTATTTTCTTTAGAAAGTCTATGAATTGTTCGACACCCTCCAAGTAAGTTCTGGCGACACTGAAATGATCTGAAGAACCATGCGCATTTTCAAAGTAGTCAATAAGTTCTTCCTGTTTTAAGTATCCATTGTTGTAGTTTTCTTTGAAGAATTGACTGGTGCATTTGGTAAGATCTTCTACTGGGTTTCTGTTGTTTTCTTGAGTTTTTGGTTTTTTGGTTTGTGGCTTCACGCACACACGCATGCGCAGTGATCAACCCTGCCTCTAGAAACATGTGTATACCAAACTAAGAATAGGATCCACATGTCCGAAGATCAAACCGGTCACGCCTTACTAGTTGAAGTGGTACCTATCTGACCCCCAGACTTTTCCTCCACCCCTCCTCATCGTGTCACTTACGTGAGGAGGCTTATGATCTGAAAGTTACTTAAGTCACCTTCTGTTTTTATTGACTGTGGTTATGCCACCTATCTGTAGGGGTAAACACATCTAGCCTTTTCTTCCTATTTACTTTACTGTCTCGATTGATTTTACTTTATATCACTTCGGGACTTGAGTCCCTAAAAGAAAAAAGAAAAAAGAGCGCGTGTTCCGTATATGGAGCCGCCAGTCTAAGCTGGCGACTCCATGTCCGGAAAAAAGTGTGTGCCTGGTCACTCAGCCGCCGATTTGGCAAAATAAATTTTGTTCTCCTCGCCGGCTGGGCGCCCGAGATGTGTCCAATCACCAAGCCCATGTTTACGCACATGACCTTAGTTCTCGGGTGTCACGAAGTGGATCAGTATTCATTCGATCCATCTTAAGGGCCTAGTCCACATCAGCGGTATATAGAAGGCCTGACGGGCCTTCTATATAGAGAAAGAAAGTAAATTGATTACGTTAAAACGTTTAGTGAAAAGAGTTTAGATTTTAAAGTACTTAATATTAAGAGAAAACAACCATTTTCTTTTTGGTTTGGGGGCCTTTCTTGTGGCGTTGGGACTATACAATGCCTGGGACAATTCTTACCCTTTTTTTATTCTTACATGCTAAAGTGTGTGAGTGTATTGGTGTGTGCATTCCAGGGTGTATAGGGCCTTCACACACCCCGTGTATAGTGTTCTTACCTAAGTGCCTTGGCACCTGTATCCTCTCGCCAGAGTAAACCTAAAAAGGCAGATATTTTTTTGGTTGGTTGTTTTCTGATGACTGCATTCTTTTTGTTTGCCGTCCTTGCGACCATCTCATTCTTCATTTATTCGTTTGGGATCCCCCTATATCCTGCTATTTGCTGTTTAGGTCTTCTGTGTACCGACCTGGTATTTGCGTTGAAGTTAGTCAGCTCTCTTAACATACTGCTTGGGTGGTTGTTTAATCCATTGAATAGTTCGTATGCTTTCTTGTTTAGTATGTGTAGGATCCTTGTTTGTCCTGAGTCTCTGTATAAATTTCTCAGAGGTACGTATTTCGGTAGCTTTAGGGAATCTCTTATTAATTGATTTTGCGCTGTCTGTATTTTTGTCCTGTTTGATTTGCAGGTGTGTCCCCACGCAGCAGACGCATACGAAAGGACTGGCAGGATGATACTATTCGCAATCCTGATTTTGGTTTTGAATCTCAGTTTGATTCTTCTACCAGTGAGCGATAAGAGCTGACTTTTCAGCGCTTTATCTCTGTACGTTTTTTGATTTATATGTTGGGTGAATGTAAGTTTCTTGTCGAGCAACACCCCTAGGTATTTTGTCTCGTTGGTCCAATCTACTGGGGTGCTCCCAATCGTGAGTTCTTGATTTGGTACACTTCTTCTGTGACTAAACATTGCAGCCTGTGTTTTGGGTTTAAGGCTATTTTCCGTTTTATGCACCATCTTTGGAATCTATTCAATGCTCTCTGCAGATGATTAGCTGCATGATCTGGATTTCTCCAGCTAACAGCTATTGCTGTGTCGTCAGCGTAAAGACTCAGCAGGGATCCTGGTTCTTTTGGCGTGTCGGCCGTATAGATGGTGTACAGGTATGGCGATAGCACAGCTCCCTGAGGTACACCTGCCTCCAGGGTCCCGACTTCGAACTTTGAACCTTCTGTTGTCTACATTTTTTCGTTAAAACCTTTTGTAGCGAATTCTGTGAAACGTAATACTTGTAGTTCGCAGGAATGTTCGCTTTTGAACCCGAATTGAGCTTCTGTTATGGTGCCTAGTGCTTCCGATTCTTCGTTGAGTCTTTTTAATATGACTCTTTCTGCTATCTTGCTTATCGATGGTAATAGGTTAATAGGTCTATAATTTTGCGGAAAAGTGCCGTCCTTCCCAGGTTTTTTAATCATAATGATTTGTGCCTCCTTCTATCTGTCTAGAAAATATCTTAACTTGAGCATGTCGTTTATGATGTTCGTAATGTAAACAAGGGCTTTTGTGAGTAGATTTTTTAGCGCCCTATTTGTGATGTTGTCGGGTCCTGGGACTTTTTTAGCGTTTGTCAGCTTGATTAGTTCTTTTATTTCTTTGGGAGATGTGTGTACCATCCCTACTCTGCCCTTTCTTCTCTTTAGTATTCTAGCTGTTCTTTCTACCTCTTCTTCGAAGTCTATGTCTTCATTGGGATGTTCGTTGTTTTTACATGCCCTTTCTAATTCGGCCTTTAAGGATTCAGCTTTATCTATTTTCGTATGAACAATCCCGTTTACTCCGTGTAGGGGAGGTATGGGTTTCTTGTCCTGTCGGAGAATTTTCGATAGTTTCCAGAAGGTGGATCTGTTGGGGTCCAGTTCTTGGACATAGGTGTCCCAACTTTCATTTCTGTAATTTTGTAGTTGTCTTTTTACTTCCCTGTCTAGCTCGTTTGCAATCATTTTATCTTCTATTGTTCTAGTGCGATAAGCTCTTTTCCTTTTCCCGTGTTTTTTCTTTGATTAAGTTTTGTAGCTCGTAGCTTATATCCCTAAATCTTCCTTTCTATCTTGTGATTGTTTCGGTTTTGGAGCTGGCATCGATAGCATTAATTATTGTTTCTTCTAGTTTTGTTACACTGTCCTCTAGTTCTGCGATGTTGTTTATTGTTGGAATGTTACCGATGTTTTCGCTCACCATTCTTCTGAAGTTCGGCCAACTTGTCTTCTTTCTGTTGTGGGGCTGCAAATAGTTTATTATATAGTCTATTGTGCCCAAGGTCAGAACGATTAGATTATGCGTCGAATCGCCTTCGTTTAGAATATGTATCTCATATTGTTGACCCACGTTGTGTAGGATTGAAATATCGAGATGCGTAGGGAGATATCCGTGAAAACAGGTCGGGTCTG